AATAACGGAAGTTCTGCTGACCATGTTAGGCTGAGTTGCATTAATTTAGTAATCCTACAATTACTTTTCAAATATCGATTGGCGAGCGACTTCATATTCAATCAGATGTTCGATTTCCTTTGAGGCTCCGATGTAAGCACATTTATCGCAGTGCATATGCAGTTTAATGGGGCACTAGATGTGATAATCAATCAAAATGACACTATGATATCGGGCGGAGGTCGAAGTTTCTGAGAAAATAATAACTGAGAGAACGTCCAAGCAAGAATGGATACCAGGTGCTAGAACGAGAGATGAATTTCACCATCTCAGTTCCTGTGTCAAACCCTAAGTTTAGTCTTGAGGCTGGCTTCGAAATAAAAATCGCGTCAAAAAGGTGCTTTGATTTCCATCGGCTCTCAACGTAGAATCATTATGGGTAAGTTGATAGTTCCACACACAATTGAAAAAAAAGAGTGGAAGACTGGCTGCTTAGTTTGGATTTTTTTGGAGATTGATCAATGTATATATATTTTTTATATTTATTAGATGAGAAAAGACTTATGCAAGGGCTTTGGTGTAGCCCACAAAGGAACAAACGTATAAAACCTACAGAAGCGGTGACAAGGCCAAGAGACTAGTTATAAAAAGGTCATAATCATATTTGTAAATTGTAAAGAGAAGAGAAATTGTTTTTTCTAATTTTTTTTTGTTTTTTGACACTATTATGGCTATTCCAAAGGATAGGATAGAACTACCAAATCAATAATGGCAAAAATCTGGACGTTTAAGTGCATGGAAGTTGAAAATCATCATGAGAAAATTAAAAGTGTAACTACGGGGGCAATGTCTCAATCCAAAAGATGAATCCAGCTCCACTAGGGCTTAGCTGACGGCATTTTACATATGAGACCTCTTCTGCAGCAGCTGACAGGCTTTTGGATCGGAACACCCGCACTTTAGCTTGAACTCAGCAACCAAAAAAGTCAGGTTTGACAGCACTACAAAAATGGTCAATTAATTCCCGATTTCTCTATAACGAACTCTAGTACCGATTATAGCACGCAGGGTGTAGCAATTTATCGGTGAAGCAGCGCCCGGTAGACAAGGTTTCTATAAAAATATGATGCTATCATGTCTTGAAATTGTTCCCTTGGGATGTCGATTCACCATTCCAAATGGTTTGAAAAAAGTAACAGGAGAATGTAGAATGAGAATGAATCTTTTATGTTTCATAAATATTCCAAAAATGTTCGTAGAGTCGGAAAACCTACTGCAAATCGGAGATTCCCAAGAGGAGGTTCAGCGTACGGAATTCCGCGGAATATCTGAATATGCCGGCCATCGATGTTGTAGATTTTTCCTCGAACCAGTCCCTGTTCGACCCATACCGATCGTAATTTCTCGAGTAACTTCGACTAAGTGACGGTGTGAAGCAGGTCGATAACAAGCTAAAGCGGCCAGCAGCAGCAGCGGCTGATTCACTGTCGGGATGAGCATCTCCAGCGGTGAAACACGTCACTCAACGGATCGCTGGCGCCATGTGCCGCCAGTCGGTCGCGATGTGTGTGTGTTGATGAGGAACAATGCCGACCAACTGACGGGGCCCAATTACACACGGCTTGCTCAGTGCTGTAAAGAAGCCGAAGAAATCGAGTAGCCTTTAGAAGATCTTCTAGTCTAAAGTTGCACGTGTGGCGAAGCACATGGTTTTCATGGTTGGTGTGGGCGGCCTGGGCGCACGCATTCGTATAACTTGTGGCGTCGCAGTGTTCA